TTTCAGGTGCTATGCCAGGTGTTATGCCTGGTACTGTGACAGGTACTTTGCCAGGTGTTATGCCTGGTGCTATGCCTGGTGCTATGCCTGGTGCTATACCAGATGCTATGCAAGGTACCATTTCAGGTGCTATGCCAGGTGTTATGCCTGGTGCTGTGACAGGTACTTTGCCAGGTGTTATTCCAGGTGTTATGCCTGGGGCTATGCAAGGTGCTATGCCTGGTGCTATACCAGATGCTATGCAAGGTACTATTTCAGGTACTATGCCAGGTGTTATGCCTGGTGCTATGCCTGTTGCTATACCAGATGCTATGCAAGGTACTATTTCAGGTGCTGTGACAGGTGTTATTCCAGGTATTATGCCTGGTGCTGTGACAGGTACTGTACCAGGTGTTATGCCAGGTGTTATGCCAGGTGCTATGCCAGGTGCTATGCCCGGTGCTATGCCAGGTGCTGTGCCAGGTGCTATACCAGAGGCTATGTAAGGTGCTATACCTGCTGCTGTGTCAAGTGCTGTAACAGGTGCTATACCTGATGATATGCCTGGTGCTATGCCATATGCTATTGAAGGTGCTATGCCATATGCTATTGAAGGTGCTATGCCAGATGCTATTGAAGGTGCTATGCCAGATGCTATTGAAGGTGCTATGCCCCGTGATATGCCTGGTGCTATGCCAGATGCAATTCAATTTGCTATTCAAGGAGCTATGCAAGGTGCTGTACCATGTGCTATACCTGATGATATGCCTGGTGCTATGCCATATGCTATTGAAGGTGCTATGCCATATGCTATTGAAGGTGCTATGCCAGATGCTATTGAAGCTGATATGCCTGGTGCTATGCCAGATGCAATTCAATTTGCTATTCAAGGTGCTATGCAAGGTGCTATGCCTGATGCTATGCCTGATGCTATGCCAGATGCTATTTAGGGTACTATGACAGATGTTGTGCAAGGTGCTATGCCAGATGATATGCTTGGTGTTATACCTGGTGTAATGCCAGATGCTATTCAAGGTGCTACGCCAGATGTTATGCAAGGTGCTATGCCAGATGCTAAGCAAGGTGCTATGCCAGATACTATGCCAGCTGCTACGCAAGGTGAGCAATCTAACCACTGAGCTATCGCGGCAGTCATATATATATATATATACATACATACATATATATATATGTATGTATGTATATATATATATATATATATATATATATATATATATATATATATGACTGCCGCGATAGCTCAGTGGTTAGAGCATTGGACTCCGACCCTCGTGGGCCCGAGTCCCAATTCCCCGTCGCGGCGGTCGTATATATATACATATATATATATATATATATATATATATATATATATATATATATATATATATATATATATACATACATATATATATATATATATATATATATATATATATATATATATATATATATATATACATACATATATATATATATATATATATATATATATATATATATATATATATATATATGTATATATATATATATATATATATATATATATATATATATATATATATATATATATATATATGTATATATATATACGACCGCCGCGACGGGGAATTGGGACTCGGGCCCACGAGGGTCGGAGTCCAATGCTCTAACCACTGAGCTATCACGGCAGTCATATATATATATATATATATATATATATATATATATATATATATATATATATATATATATATATATATATATGCCAGGTGTTATGCCAGGTGCTATGCCAGGTGTTATGCCAGGTGTTATGCCTGGTGCTATGCCTGGTGCTATGCCTGGTGCTATGCAAGGTGCTATACCAGATGCTATGCAAGGTACCATTTCAGGTGCTATGCCAGGTGTTATGCCTGTTACTGTGCCAGGTGTTATGCCAGGTGTTATGCCTTGTGCTATGCCAGGTGCTATGCCTGGTGCTATGCAAGGTGCTATCCCTGGTGCTATGCCTGGTGCTATGCAAGGTGCTATGCCTGGTGCTATACCAGATGCTATGCAAGGTACCATTTCAGGTGCTATGCCAGGTGTTATGCCTGGTGCTATGCCAGGTGCTATGCCAGGTGCTATGCCAGGTGCTATGCCAGGTGCTATGCCAGGTGCTATGCCTGGGGCTATGCAAGGTGCTATGCCTGGTGCTATACCAGATGCTATGCAAGGTACTATTTCAGGTACTATGCCAGGTGCTATTCCAGGTGTTATGCCAGGTGTTATGCCTGGTGCTATGCCTGTTGCTATACCAGATGCTATGCAAGGTACTATTTCAGGTGCTGTGACAGGTGTTATTCCAGGTATTATGCCTGGTGCTGTGACAAGTACTGTACCAGGTGTTATGCCAGGTGCTATGTCAGGTGCTATGCCAGGTGCTATGCCAGGTGCTGTACCAGGTGCTGTGCCAGGTGCTATACCAGAGGCTATGTAAGGTGTGCTATACCTGCTGCTGTGTCAAGTGCTGTACCAGGTGCTATACCTGATGATATGCCTGGTGCTATGCCATATGCTATTGAAGGTGGCTATGCCATATGCTATTGAAGGTGCTATGCCAGATGCTATTGAAGGTGCTATGCCAGATGCTATTGAAGGTGCTATGCCCCGTGATATGCCTGGTGCTATGCCAGATGCAATTCATTTGCTATTCAAGGAGCTATGCAAGGTGCTGTACCATGTGCTATACCTGATGATATGCCTGGTGCTATGCCATATGCTATTGAAGGTGCTATGCCATATGCTATTGAGGTGCTATGCCAGAATGCTAGTTGAGCTGATATGCCTGGTGCTATGCCAGACTGCAATGCAATTTGCTATTCTAAGGTGCTATGCGAGGTGCTATGCCTGATGCCTATCCTGATGCTACTGCCAGATGCTTATTAGGGTACTATGACAGATGTTGTGCAAGGTTGCTATGCCAGATGATATTGCCTTGGTGTTTATACCTGGTGGAATGCCAGATGCTATTCAAGGTGCTACGCCAGATGTTATGCAAGGTGGCTATGCCAGATGCAAGCAAGGTGCATGCCAGAAATACTATGACAGCTGCTACGCAAGGTAGCAATCTAACCACTGAGCAGTCGCGGCAGTCATATATAGTGGATATTATATACATACATAATATATATATAATGTATGTATGTATATATATATATGAATATATATATATATATATATAGTATATATATATATGACCTGCCTCGATAGCTCAGTGGTTATAGCACTGGACTCGACCCTCGGGGGCCGATCCCCATTCCCCCGTCGCGCGGTCGTAGATATAATACATATATATATATATATTATATATATCATATATATATATATTATTATATATATATATATATACATACATATATATTTATACTAGATATATATATAGATTTCATTTATAATATTATATATACCTACATCTCTATATTATATATAATATATATCTATATTAATAATATAGATATATGTATATTATGTAATATATATAATCTATATAGATATTATATATCTATATATATATATATTATATATATATATATGTATATATAATTATACGACGCGCCGCGACGGGGGAATTGGACTCGAGCCCACGAGGGTCGGAGTCCAATGCTCTAACCACTTGAAGCTATCACGGCAGTCATATATATATATATATATAATATAATATTATATATATATATATATAGATATATATATATATATAGTATATAATGCCAGGTGTTATGCAGGTGCTATGCCAGGTGTTATGCCAGGTGTTATGCCTGGTGCTATGCCTGGTGCTATGCCTGGTGCTATGCAAGGTGCTATACCAGATGCTATGCAAGGTACCATTTCAGGTGCTATGCCAGGTGTTATGCTGTTACTGTGCCAGGTGTTATGCCAGGTGTTATGCCTTGTGCTATGCCAGGTGCTATGCCTGGTGCTATGCAAGGTGCTATCCCTGGTGCTATGCCTGGTGCTATGCAAGGTGCTATGCCTGGTGCTATACCAGATGCTATGCAAGGTACCATTTCAGGTGCTATGCCAGGTGTTATGCCTGGTGCTGTGACAGGTACTTTGCCAGGTGTTATGCCAGGTGCTATGCCAGGTGCTATGCCAGGTGTTATGCCTGGGGCTATGCAAGGTGCTATGCCTGGTGCTATACCAGATGCTATGCAAGGTACTATTTCAGGTACTATGCCAGGTGCTATTCCAGGTGTTATGCCAGGTGTTATGCCTGGTGCTATGCCTGTTGCTATACCAGATGCTATGCAAGGTACTATTTCAGGTGCTGTGACAGGTGTTATTCCAGGTATTATGCCTGGTGCTGTGACAAGTACTGTACCAGGTGTTATGCCAGGTGCTATGTCAGGTGCTATGCCAGGTGCTATGCCAGGTGCTGTACCAGGTGCTGTGCCAGGTGCTATACCAGAGGCTATGTAAGGTGCTATACCTGCTGCTATGTCAAGTGCTGTACCAGGTGCTATACCTGATGATATGCCTGGTGCTATGCCATATGCTATTGAAGGTGCTATGCCATATGCTATTGAAGGTGCTATGCCATATGCTATTGAAGGTGCTATGCCAGATGCTATTGAAGGTGCTATGCCCCGTGATATGCCTGGTGCTATGCCAGATGCAATTTAATTTGCTATTCAAGGAGCTATGCAAGGTGCTGTGCCATGTGCTATACCTGATGATATGCCTGGTGCTATGCCATATGCTATTGAAGGTGCTATGCCATATGCTATTGAAGGTGCTATGCCATATGCTATTGAAGGTGCTATGCCAGATGCTATTGAAGCTGATATGCCTGGTGCTATGCCAGATGCAATTCAATTTGCTATTCAAGGTGCTATGCAAGGTGCTATGCCAAGTGCTATGCAAGGTGCTATGCAAGGTGCTATGCGAGGTGCTATGCGAGGTGCTTTGCCTGATGCTATGCCTGATGCTATGACAGATGCTGTGCAAGGTGCTATGCCAGATGATATGCTTGGTGTTATACCTGGTGTAATGCCAGATGCTATTCAAGGTGCTACGCCAGATGTTATGCAAGGTGCTATGCCAGATGCTATGCAAGGTGCTATGCCAGATACTATGCCAGCTGCTACGCAAGGTGAGCAATCGGCTCCTTGGCAAGATCGTAGTTCTGAACCATGGCAAGGTTGTGGTCCTGGTCCTTGGAATGGCCCTGGTCCTTGGAATGGCCCTGGTCCTTGGAATGGCCCTGGTCCTTGGAATGGCCCTGGTCCTTGGAATGGCCCCCTATATATATATATATATATGTATGTATGTATGTATATATATATATATATATATATATATATATATATATATATATATATATGACTGCCGCGATAGCTCAGTGGTTAGAGCATTGGACTCCGACCCTCGTGGGCCCGAGTCCCAATTCCCCGTCGCGGCGGTCGTATATATATATACATATATATATATATATATATATATATATATATATATATATATATATATATATACATACATACATATATATATATATATATATATATATATATATATATATATATATATATATACATACATATATATATATATATATATATATGTATGTATATATATATATATATATATATATATATATATATATATATATATATATATATATATGTATATATATATACGACCGCCGCGACGGGGAATTGGGACTCGGGCCCACGAGGGTCGGAGTCCAATGCTCTAACCACTGAGCTATCGCGGCAGTCATATATATATATATATATATATATATATATATATATATATATATATATACATACATACATACATATATATATATATATAGGGGGCCATTCCAAGGACCAGGGCCATTCCAAGGACCAGGGCCATTCCAAGGACCAGGGCCATTCCAAGGACCAGGACCACAACCTTGCCATGGTTCAGAACTACGATCTTGCCAAGGAGCCGATTGCTCACCTTGCGTAGCAGCTGGCATAGTATCTGGCATAGCACCTTGCATAGCATCTGGCATAGCACCTTGCATAACATCTGGCGTAGCACCTTGAATAGCATCTGGCATTACACCAGGTATAACACCAAGCATATCATCTGGCATAGCACCTTGCACAGCATCTGTCATAGCATCAGGCATAGCATCAGGCAAAGCACCTCGCATAGCACCTCGCATAGCACCTTGCATAGCACCTTGCATAGCACCTTGCATAGCACTTGGCATAGCACCTTGCATAGCACCTTGAATAGCAAATTGAATTGCATCTGGCATAGCACCAGGCATATCAGCTTCAATAGCATCTGGCATAGCACCTTCAATAGCATATGGCATAGCACCTTCAATAGCATATGGCATAGCACCTTCAATAGCATATGGCATAGCACCAGGCATATCATCAGGTATAGCACATGGCACAGCACCTTGCATAGCTCCTTGAATAGCAAATTAAATTGCATCTGGCATAGCACCAGGCATATCACGGGGCATAGCACCTTCAATAGCATCTGGCATAGCACCTTCAATAGCATATGGCATAGCACCTTCAATAGCATATGGCATAGCACCTTCAATAGCATATGGCATAGCACCAGGCATATCATCAGGTATAGCACCTGGTACAGCACTTGACATAGCAGCAGGTATAGCACCTTACATAGCCTCTGGTATAGCACCTGGCACAGCACCTGGTACAGCACCTGGCATAGCACCGGGCATAGCACCTGGCATAGCACCTGACATAGCACCTGGCATAACACCTGGTACAGTACTTGTCACAGCACCAGGCATAATACCTGGAATAACACCTGTCACAGCACCTGAAATAGTACCTTGCATAGCATCTGGTATAGCAACAGGCATAGCACCAGGCATAACACCTGGCATAACACCTGGAATAGCACCTGAATAGTACCTGAAATAGTACCTTGCATAGCCTCTGGTATAGCACCAGGCATAGCACCTTGCATAGCCCCAGGCATAGCACCAGGCATAACACCTGGCATAGCACCTGGCATAGCACCTGGCATAACACCTGGCAAAGTACCTGTCACAGCACCAGGCATAACACCTGGCATAGCACCTGAAATGGTACCTTGCATAGCATCTGGTATAGCACCAGGCATAGCACCTTGCATAGCACCAGGCATAGCACCAGGGATAGCACCTTGCATAGCACCAGGCATAGCACCAGGCATAGCACCAGGCATAACACCTGGCATAACACCTGGCACAGTAACAGGCATAACACCTGGCATAGCACCTGAAATGGTACCTTGCATAGCATCTGGTATAGCACCTTGCATAGCACCAGGCATAGCACCTGGCATAGCACCAGGCATAACACCTGGCATAACACCTGGCATAGCACCTGGCATAACACCTGGCATAACACCTGGCAAAGTACCTGTCACAGCACCAGGCATAACACCTGGCATAGCACCTGAAATGGTACCTTGCATAGCATCTGGTATAGCACCAGGCATAGCACCTGGCATAGCACCTGGCATAACACCTGGCATAGTACCTGTCACAGCACCAGGTATAACACCTGGCATAGCACCTGAAATGGTACCTTGCATAGCATCTGGTATAGCACCAGGAATAGCACCTTGCATAGCACCAGGCATAGCACCTGGCTTAGCACCTGGCATAACACCTGGCATAGCATCTTGCATAGCATCTTGCATAGCACGAGGCATAGCACCTTGCATAGCACCTGGCATAACACCAGGACCACAATCTTGCCAAGCAGGATTATACTCAGCAGCAGGTTACTGCCCAGGAGGAAGATACTGCATTTCCCCAACAGGGTACAGCCAAGGCTAGAGACCTCCAAAGTCAGTGCTCCTGGTCAATATCCAACTTGGGTCTTTCTGATACCGAGGGTCCTCACCACGTTTCTTAGGGTGTGAAATCTAGCATCTGCTACAGCTCCAGAAAAATCCGCTGGATGACGTCCAGTAACTACTGCTAAATAACAAATACTCACTGCTGCTGAATGATGTCCAATCACTGCTGCTGGAAGACGTCCAATCACTGCTGCTGAATGATGTCCAATCACTGCTGCTGGAAGACGTCCAATCACTGCTGCTGGAAGACGTCCATCACTGCTGGAAGACGTCCAATCACTGCTGCTGGATGACGTTGACTCACTGCTGCTGGATGAGGTTGACTCACTGCTGCTGGATGACGTTGACTCACTGCTGCTGGATGACGTTGACTCACTGCTGCTGGATGACGTTGACTCACTGCTGCTGGAAGACGTCCCATCACTGCTGCTGGATGACGTTGACTCACTGCTGCTGGATGACGTTGACTCACTGCTGCTGGATGACGTTGACTCACTGCTGCTGGATGACGTTGAATCACTGCTGCTGGAAGACGTCCAATCACTGCTGCTGGATGACGTTGACTCACTGCTGCTGGATGACGTCGATTCACTGCTACTGGATGACGTCCACTCACTGCTGCTGGATGACTTCGACTCACTGCTGCTGGATGACGTCCACTCACTGCTGCTGGATGACGTCGACTCACTGCTGCTGGATGAGACCAATTGATCAGCCGTTTTAACTTTCTTCGTACGATGAGCACGTTTTTTATTCTCGTTATTCTTCGTCTTATGATGTTTGCTAGAATTCATGTTAAACCAATATAAGTTAAGGAGGGAATACCTAGATACACATGTGTGCATGCATTCTTTTCGTTATAGAATAATTACTTTTCTTCACAGGATGATATAAAGTAGATATTCCCAAAATCTGAACCATTTTTTCTTGCAAATAAATCATTCATCATTAGGACTAAGGAAAATCGATGATAAATAAAAAAGGAGACAGTGCCTGCATTACTGCCTACTCCTCTCCCTAACGGGAGACGCCTTAAAGCGGTGTGGGGGGAAGGGGGGGGAGTCGGGGAGGTGGAGCGATGCTGCACGCTGCGCCCTGCAGATAGCAACACGTTTCTTTATTTCTCTATTCTGAATAGACGGGTGGCTTGACCGAGGCCCGGCTAAGTCAATCGGCTAGTCAAGTATGGCTAAGATAAGTAGACACTGCCCAGTTGGCATCGCATTGGTCCCGCGACTGCCATCTACACTGGGTGATTACTGCGTATATTTCCTCATAAACCATGAGGCTGTTGAGTGCATTTAAACCCCAATCTATAATTTCCCCCTTTTTTCGACACTAAGCATGACTGGGCAATCGTAAATGAAAGTGGGTAGAAGGGCACACGTGAACATCACATGCCATTTACCCTTACTACTTACATATACACGCGCACACACAATCATACACATACATGAGCAGCACACTCTCTTACAACACTGCACATTTACATAATCATATACTCACATACGCTAATGCTTAGATACGCTGTGTGTGTCATTGTTCTCGCATGTAATGCAAAGGCGATTCTGTATGTATCTGTGTGTATTTGTGTGTATATGTGTATGTGATGTATGTGCCTCTGTGCAGTTACTGATGATAATGAAAGAGACAGAGAATGTGTCACTATAGCGCGCGCGCGCGTGTGTGTGTATGAATGGGAGAGTTTGTGTATAAATGTGTGTGTGTGAGTGTGTGTGTGTGTGTGTGTGTGTGTGTGTGTGTGTGTGTGTGTGTGTAGGTATGGATGTGTTTGTGTGTGTGTGTTTGAGACTGTATGGATGCATGCATGTGTATGTGGATATATGTGTGTATACGTTTATGTGTGTCTGTATGCATGTGTTTTAGTGTATGTGTGTGTGAGAGAGAGAGAGTATGCGTCTGTAGCGAAGCCGATCCGCGATAGAGTGCAGACAAGCTTGTGTCACCGCCGTGGCACAAGCATTAGCGCGCCAAACCGCGGCAAGGGTGGTACTGCCAAATAACCTCTAGTAAAGTGAGAGTGGCCTATGTCGTGCCGCGGAATAAATGATTGTTGAAAAGAATACACACGCATATACATATAAACATATATATACATATATATACATGCATACATATATATATATATATATATACATATATATACAGATATATACACATACATACATAT